CCTTAGAAGAAATACAACCAGCATGGTCCTTAGAAGCAAGGATGATGAGACTCCATCTTATTTACTTTGGATATGTCATCAAGAGGGACCAATTATTAGAAAAGGACATCATGGTTGGTAAAGTAGAGGGTCAGCAAAACCTCGGGAAACCCACGATGGGATGGACTGACACAATAGCCACAAAAATGGGCTCAAACATACCAATGATCCTGAAGGTGGCACAAGATCAGGCAACGTTTTATTCCATTATACATAAGGTTGCCATGAGTCAGATCCAGCTTGGCGGCAACTAGCTAGAACAAGCGGGCATTATGTGTCTAGGTCTTAGGAGTGGGGCTTTCTCAGTGATCCTGCTTTTTCTTTCTGTGGCAAGCAGATTCTGCCTTGTGTCTTGGGTGGATCTTTTGCACCAGAGAGTTTTTTGCATCTCCTCCAGCATTAGGGAACCTCTGATGGTATTAGTATAGGGTCAGCATTACTGACATTTTGGGCTGGACAATTCTTTGCCGTGGGAGGCTGCTCTGCACATTGTAAGACATTCAGCAGCATCCCTGGACCCCACTCACTATATGCCAGTGGCTCTTTCCCAGATGTGATGAACAAAAATGTCTCCAGACATTCCTAAATGTCCTAGTGGGACAAAATTGCCCATTATAATGGAAGGTGTCATAGGTGTGAAAGACTGCTGTGCATTGCTTCTTCCAGAAGCTTCTCCAAAGTCTCTTGTTGGGCTAAGTGATGTACCTGGGTGTTCTCTTTGCACCCTGTGCTCCACCTTATTAAATCAAAATGGTCAGCTTGGCTCATAGACCTCCACTAGACTCTGTCCACTGGCTCATCTTTTTATCCCCAATGCTGAGCAGTGCTTGGCACACAGTAAGTGCTCAACAAATGGAAGGATCAACAGTGTTTAGGACGAGGCAGTTATAACCAACCTAAGGATTCTGGATCAGAACTGACCTCTGGTAAGGATTACTGAAGATCCATTTCACAGATAGTTTAATCTCAACATAAACATGCAGCATTAATAAGAATCAACTCCTGGGAATAGGCAGGTAATGAAAAAGATAGTCTGTTTACCAGAAAAGCTTGGTTATTCGAACATAGATTATAAAAGTAAAACTCCCTCTTTATTTTAATTGAGGTCAAGTCCTTGTTTAATTTATAAGCCAATTCTCCAGCTGGCCAAAACTGGGCTCATGCCTCCCATATCCTTTTCCTCACATGGCTTCACTCAACTTAATATGTTGAGATTGTTCTTCCACTTGTAATATGATTGAGCTTGAGGAAGAAGTTTGTTTTTTTTATAGGAAGCTACAAAGATGATGTGAAAAAAAAAAAACAAAGTAATAAGAATGGAGGCTTAAATTCTGGCATAGTTGTTAAAACAAAACAAAACAAAAAATAAATAAGAATTACCTTCCTAAAAAACATCTCATGAAGGCTCATCTACATGTTAGAGGTCTTTAGGAGTGATTTTAAGGAAACAAAAGCTGAGAGTCCCTACCCCTTTATAGCCAGACCTTAACATGTACCTTCAGTCTCTGTTCTGAAATTCACATTGTTTCTTGAACAAGTTTCATGCCCTGAACTACCCTTCTCCCTGTCAGGCAGCC